TTCTCTCAGCTTTGGTGTTGTGCGTCTCGCGTGTCTCTGAAGGTCACGTTCACGTACCCTCCTCTGCTGAGTTCCTCCGCGGCCTCTGTGCTGTGTGCCCTGGAGACCAGCAAGGGCTTAGTTCTGGGGCTTCTCCCCAGACCCCGCCCGGTGCACTGTCTGCATCTCGGAGCAGCGCTCGTTCCATCTTCACGCGGGGGAAGCGCCTGTCGAGGATCCTTTTCAGGAAGGACGTTGTGCAACCCAAGCTGGGCGGCGTGGGGTAGCTCCTTGTGCTGGCACTGGCATCAGAGTGGCTGCCCGGGCCAACTCACCAGGCTGTCCATCGGCAGGCCCCGCTCCCAAGTGAGAGCAGGGGATGAGAGGAAGTGGCTGGTCGCGTGTCCTGGGCAGGCAGAGCCACGAGTGCACGGGTGGCCACTGTACCCCTGCAGCACCCTCACTGCTTACGGCATGAAACCTGTTCATCAGACAGATCCGGTTCTCTTCCGCTCCTGCGGCATTCCTGGGTGGATGGCAGGACCTTGAAGTCAGGGCACCACGCGACAAGTCAGTGATGCCATGCAGGAATGGAGCTGGTGTGGTGGGGCTGGCGGGAGCTGGTGTGGTGGGGCTGGAGGGAGCTGGTGTGGTGGGGCTGGAGGGAGCTGGTGTGGTGGAGCTGGTGTGGTGGGGCTGGTGGGAGCTGGTGTGGTGGGGCTGGCGGGAGTTGGTGTGGTAGAGCTGGTGTGGTGGGGCTGCGGGAGTTGGTGTGGTAGAGCTGGTGTGGTGGGGCTGGCGGGAGTTGGTGTGGTGGAGCTGGTGTGGTGGGGCTGGCAGGAGCAAGTGTGGTAGAGCTGGTGTGGTGGAGCTGGCGGGAGCTGGTGTGGTGGGGCTGGCGGGAGTTGGTGTGGTAGAGCTGGTGTGGTGGGGCTGGCGGGAGTTGGTGTGGTGGAGCTGGTGTGGTGGGGCTGGCGGGAGCAGGTGTGGTGGAGCTGGTGTGGTGGGGCTGGCGGGAGCTGGTGTGGGGCTGGCGGGAGCTGGTGTGGTGGTGTTGGAGGGAGCTGGTGTGGTGGGGCTGGCGGGAGCTGGTGTGGTGGGGCTGGCGGGAGCTGGTGTGGTGGTGTTGGAGGGAGCTGGTGTGGTGGGGCTGGAGGAAGCAGGTGTGGTGGGGCTGGAGGGAGCTGGTGTGGTGAAGCTGGAGGGAGCAGGTGTGGTGGGGCTGGAGGGAGCTGGTGTGGTGAAGCTGGCGGGAGCAGGTGTGGTGGGGCTGGCGGGAGCTGGTGTGGGGGGCTAGCGGGAGCTGGTGTGGGGCTGGAGGGAGCAGGTGTGGTGGGGCTGGAGGGAGCAGGTGTGGTGAAGCTGGCGGGAGCAGGTGTGGTGGGGCTGGCGGGAGCTGGTGTGGGGGGCTAGCGGGAGCTGGTGTGGTGGGGCTGGCGGGAGCTGGTGGGGGGGGCTGGCAGGAGCTGGTGTGGGGGGGCTGGCGGGAGCTGGTGGGGGGGGCTGGCGGGAGCTGGTGTGGGGGGGCTGGCGGGAGCTGGTGTAGTGAGGCTGGCAGGAGCTGGTGCGGTGGGGCTGGCGGGAGCTGGGGGGGGGGCTGGCAGGAGCTGGTGTGGGGGGGCTGGCGGGAGCTGGTGTGGGGGGGCTGGCGGGAGCTGGTGTAGTGAGGCTGGCAGGAGCTGGTGCGGTGGGGCTGGCAGGAGCTGGTGTGGTGGGGCTGGCGGGAGCTGGTGCGGTGGGGCTGGCGGGAGCTGGTGTGGTGGGGCTGGCGGGAGCTGGTGCGGTGGGGCTGGCGGGAGCTGGTGTGGGGGGGCTGGCGGGAGCTGGTGCGGTGGGGCTGGAGGGAGCTGGTGTGGTGGGGCTGGAGAGAGCTGGTGTGGTGGGGCTGGCGGGAGCTGGTGTGGTGGGGCTGGCGGGAGCTGGTGTGGTGGGGCTGGCGGGAGCTGGTGGGGGGGGGCTGGCGGGAGCTGGTGTAGTGAAGCTGGCAGGAGCTGGTGTGGTGGGGCTGGTGGGAGCTGGTGTGGTGGGGCTGGCGGGAGCTGGTGCGGTGGGGCTGGCGGGAGCTGGTGTGGGGGGGCTGGCGGGAGCTGGTGCGGTGGGGCTGGAGGGAGCTGGTGTGGTGGGGCTGGAGAGAGCTGGTGTGGTGGGGCTGGCGGGAGCTGGTGTGGTGGGGCTGGCGGGAGCTGGTGTGGTGGGGCTGGCTGGAGCTGGTGTGGTGGGGCTGGGCGGGAGCTGGTGTAGTGAAGCTGGCGGAGCGGTGTGTGGTGGGGCTGGTGGGAGCTGTGTGGTGGGGCTGGCGGGAGCTGGTGCGGTGGGGCTGGCGGGAGCTGGGTGGGGGGGGCTGGCGGGAGCTGGTGTGGGGGGGCTGGCGGAGCTGGTGTGGTGGGGGCTGGCGGGAGCTGGTGTGGGGGGCTGGCGGGAGCTGGTGGGGGGGGCTGGAGAGAGCTGGTGTGGTGGAGGCTGGCGGGAGCTGGTGCGGTGGGGCTGGCGTGGAGCTGGTGGGAGGGCTGGCGGAGCTGGTGGGGGGGGCTGGCGGGAGCTGGTGCGGTGGGGCTGGCGGGAGCTGGTGGGAGGGCTGGCGGGAGCTGGTGCGGTGGGGCTGGCGGGAGCTGGTGTGGTGGGGCTGGGCTGTGCACGGCCATAACGTCTTGAAGAGCAGCTCCAATCACAGGACAGTGGGGCCTCGCTGCACAAGAGGCAGCTGTCCTGGGGCCTCCTGAGAACAGGACGAAGGGCGTGGTGAGCGTAGTGGTCAGCAGGGGCTGGAGGGCACCCGACAACACAGGACACCCACCTGCACGCGCATCTCAGACAGGCGCTGGATGTACTTTTATAAATTAAATAAAACCAGAAAGTGTGTGGGCACCTGTTTATTTGCTAACTCTGGTAGTTGGAAGTGTGGGGACTGAGTTCCAGGACGTCCGAGGAGCCACTGGTGGCCGCTCAGAGACGGCGTGCGGCTTCCCCTCGAGAGCCCAGGCGAGGGCATGCGGCCCGTGGCCCTGCGGCTCCAGCTCAGGGCTTAGTGAATCGCTAAGAAAGCCTGAGATGGATGGGTGCGGGGCCTGGGAGGAGCTGCAGGGAGAGGGAGAGTGATGAAGGGGCCGAGGCACCGTGTGATTTATGGTTTATGAGCAGAGATGTTAAAAGCCAGATAGGATTTGCGTTAATTGTACAGTGATGAATTGTTCAGAGACCAGCGACAGAGATGAGTGCGTGTAATGTCTTTCTGGGCAAAGCCATCACAGGTGATTAAACTGCTGGAATTAGGGACAATGGGGCAGGGTGAAGAAAAGAGAAGTTCTTAAGAGTTTTTGTCCTAACAGCTTGCCCTGTTTCCATTTACGTGTCCCGCATGCTGTATTGATCTCTTATGTTTTACCCACCATGCCGTTCTTTGGATGTTTTCCTCACTTGAGAAGGTTCTGATCCGGTCCTTGGGACTCACCGTGGAGCAGGCACTGCCTGGGAGTCTTGGGCAGGCTCCAGCGTCACCACGAGCACGGAGCTGGGAGCAGAGGGAGACCCCGTGAGCCCCGGTCAGCTGCTGTTGCTATCAGGCAGTGCCTGGGGTGGCCGAACTCCCAGAAAGGATGCCTCTGGCTCAGGGCCCAGAGATCCAAAGTCTGATTCCATGGCGGAGGTTGTGGCCAGGGCCACTCTGGACTGTGTCACAGGTAGAAGGTGTGTGTCCATCCCTCCCCCACCCCTTAGAAAGCCACCAGGATCCAACCACGGGGCTCCCACCCCGATGGCCTTGCCCACTCTGACCACTTCCCTAAGGCCTCAGCTCTGCCTGCACAGTTCAGCACCATTAACCTAAGACCTCGGCGCCCAAACACCTGGGGACAGGTACTCAAACCACAGAACCCTCTGAAAGAGGGCCAGGCAGGCAAAGAAACACGACCCCTTGGGGCTGGCGCTGTGCTGTGTCACAGCAGGTAAAGCCACCGCCTACAACGCTGGCATCCTGTATGCGTGCCTGTTCAAGTCCCAGCTGCTCCACTTCCCATCCAGCCCCCTGTTAATGGAAGCAGTGGAAGATGACCAAGTCCTTGGGCCCTGCACCCATAGGGGAGACCCAGAAGAGGCTCCTGGCTCCTGGCTTCAGCTTGGCCCAGCCCTGGCTGTTGTGGTCATTTGGGAAGTGAACCAGTGGATGAAAGATATCTCTCTCTCTCTGTCCTTCTCGATAGCTCTACGTTTCAAATAAATAAATACATCTTGAAGAGAAAGAAAGAGAAGAGTGACAGGCGCTCGCAGCTGGCGGGCGGCTCTCGGACCAACTTCATCCATGCGAGCAGGGTGTGGCTAAGTCGGGAGTTAGGGGCCTTTCTTACAGACCTGCGAAGGGTTCTGAGTGGTGGACAGCAGCTGCATTCTGTGGAGGTGGGGATCTGAGTCTCAAGTACTGTGGTATTGGAAGGCACGAGCAGGGCTGAGGCCCACGGTCAGTGGGGCCCAGGGGCCTCCCCACACTCCCATCAGCAGCCCTGTTGGCCACCGCTGCTTCCACAGCCAACTGTGAGAACGTCGCTCCTCTTTCTCATGACTGTGTACCTGGGAGGGACGCCTCCTGCTGGCGTGGGCGGTCGGAGAGGAGAGCGCTCACCCAGACCACAGCTCCACACAGCGCTCTGACCGGCTGCCTTCACGTTTAAAGTTACAAGGAGCCATTTCCCCTTTCAAAGTCTGACGGGGGTAGTGCTGTGGCCTAGCGGGTAAAGCCTCCGCCTGCAGTGCCGGCATCCCATGTAGTCTCTGGTTCGAGTCCTGGCTGCTCCACTTCTGATCCGGCTCTCTGCTATGGCCTGGGAAAGCAGTGGAGGATGGTCTAGGTCCTTGGGCCCCTGCACCTGCATGGGAGACCCAGAGGAAGCTCCTGTTTCCTGGCTTTGGATCAGCCCAGCTTTGGCCGTTGCGGCCATCTGGGGAGTGAACCAGCGGAGAAAGACCTCTCTCTCTCTCTCTGCCTCTCCTCTCTCTGTGTAACTCTTTCAAATTAAGTAAATCTTAAAAAAAAAAAAAAAAAAAAAAAAAAAAAAAAAAAAAAAACTGTGACAGTCCAGTGGCATTTGAGAAACTGGGGGTGAAATCCTGGAAGTGCCCTCCCAAGTGTCCAGGCCTACTGCCTTGCTCTCTCCAGAGCGCAAGAAAATGAAAAGACTCCGCGGCGTGAGGGTGCCACACAGCTGTTCGACGCTGGCCGGCTGGCCACGCGCCCGGCTCACACCTGAGTTTGGAGGTGAACGCTTGTTCCTGCAGTGTTTGTGTCCCCTAACTCCGCCGCCTGCACAGAACAGCCCCTCGCGCGGGGCAGCACGTGGGCTGCGTTCTGAAGCCGCCCCAGCAGTACGACCTGATGAGGTGTCTTCCCTGTGGAATCAGAATCCCCGCTCTAGTGCGGTTAGCGGTGCTCCGGGCCTGAATCAGCCGTGGGCGCGTTCTGCCGTGGAATCCGCGGTTAGCGGTGCCCTGGGCCTGAATCAGCCGTGGGCGCGTTCTGCCGTGGAATCCGCGGTTAGCGGTGCCCTGGGCCTGAATCAGCCGTGGGCACGTTCTGCGTGGAATCCACGGTTAGCAGTGCCCTGGGCCTGAATCAGCCGTGGGCGCGTTCTGCCGTGGAATCCGCAGTTAGCGGTGCCCTGGGCCTGGATCAGCCGTGGGCACGTTCTGCCGTGGAATCTGCGGTTAGCAGTGCCCTGGGCCTGGATCAGCCATCGGCGTGTTCTGCCGTGGAGTCTGCGGTTAGCGGTGCTCCGGGCCTGAATGAGCCGTGGGCACGTTCTGCCGTGGAATCCGCGGTTAGCGGTGCTCCGGGCCTGAATCAGCTGTGGGCACGTTCTGCCGTGGAATCTGCGGTTAGCGGTGACCTGGGCCTGAATCAGCCGTGGGCACGTTCTGCCGTGGAATCCGCGGTTAGCAGTGCCCTGGGCCTGAATCAGCCGTGGGCACGTTCTGCCGTGGAATCCGCGGTTAGCGGTGACCTGGGCCTGAATCAGCCGTGGGCGCGTTCTGCCGTGGAGTCCGCGGTTAGCGGTGACCTGGGCCTGAATCAGCCGTGGGCGCGTTCTGCCGTGGAATCCGCGGTTAGCGGTGACCTGGGCCTGAATCAGCCGTGGGCACGTTCTGCTGTGGAATCCGCGGTTAGCAGTGACCTGGGCCTGAATCAGCCGTGGGCGCGTTCTGCCGTGGAGTCCGCGGTTAGTGGTGACCTGGGCCTGAATCAGCCGTGGGCACGTTCTGCTGTGGAATCCGCGGTTAGCAGTGACCTGGGCCTGAATCAGCCGTGGGCGCGTTCTGCCGTGGAGTCCGCGGTTAGCGGTGACCTGGGCCTGAATCAGCCGTGGGCACGTTCTGCTGTGGAATCCGCGGTTAGCAGTGACCTGGGCCTGAATCAGCCGTGGGCGCGTTCTGCCGTGGAGTCCGCGGTTAGTGGTGACCTGGGCCTGAATCAGCCGTGGGCACGTTCTGCCGTGGAATCCGCGGCACCGATCCTTCTTCTCGGGATGCCTGTTCATTCATGATTTTTATTTACTGGGTGGTTTCTATTATTTGACACCTGTTTGGTTCAGCAATTAGGAGGTGAGCGCCAAGGCAAGAAGGTGTATTAATAATTACAGTTGGGTTTAGGAGAAACAGAAGTGGAATGAAAACAAATGGCTCCATCTTTGGAAGAAAATCTGCCTCTTTGGAGTCGGGTTGGCACAGAGTCTGCAGGAATCAGGAGTCGTGTGCAGCCCTGAACAACAGGAGAGAATGCGGGGCCCCGGCTACACGAGGCCGCGCGCCGGCTGCGCACGCCACCGCTCGCGTCCAGAAGCATTAACGGGCTGCTCGCAGCCAGCTGGGCCGGAGCCAGCGCCAGCAGCCGTGCTCTCGGGACCGTCCACTGACGCTGCCAGCCTGGCTGGGCCCCCGGGTCACTGTCAGCAACCAGCAGCACACTAGGTGGCAGTTTCATGCCTTGTGACGTGGTCTGGAAGCTGGCGGGAAGCAGTTCTCGGGGACCTGGGCAGACCTGTGACCTCTGCGAAGGGTGAAGTCCCCCTGAAGGAGACTCCTGCGGCTCGGGGCGGTAAGGGCGGGCGTGAGGAGAGGCCGCTGTGCCAGTGCCTCTCGTGTGGACTGGTGCTTGGTGTGGCCCCTTTCGGAGCATCCCAAGGCCCCTCTGGGCCGCGGGACACGGCTGCACCAGCTTCTCAGCAGAGCCAGAGCCAGCAGTGCTGCCGCCGGAAACGCTGACCAGGGCTCGGGAGAGCGGGTTCTGTTCTGCGGCTGCCCCTGAAGGCTGAGTGGCCTTGGGCAGTGGCGCAGCTTCTGTGGCTCGGTCCCTTCCTCTGCCGAGCGAGAAGTCTGGCCTTGATCTTCGCAGGCTCTGCAGTTTTGCAATTCATGTTTCCGTAATTAAAAAAAAAAAAAAATCATGTGTTCTGGGCTCCACACAGAAACCGCAGTGGTCTGGGCTAACCGTGCCTGGCCCACGCCCGAGTGCAGAATGCCCCTGCCTGTCCCCAGCCCCCAGAGCCCTGAGCCAGCGCTCCGGCACTGTTCCCACCTGGGAGCAGGAGGCCCGTCCAGATGCCGCCGGCTCTGGAGTTCACTCCGGCGCCTACGGTCCCTGAGCACACGGGACTCCTCACAGTTAAACTGATCCCATTACCAAGCAATAAACCGGAAATTGCAATGAAATTAGGTTGATTTCTGACTGACAAATTTCCACTTTGCCAGGTGGAAAAGAAATAATCACAGATACAGTGACAACAGCTGTTCCATCACATTATATTTTAAAACCCTTTAGACGAATCAGTTAATTAATTTTAACATTGTTACACTCTCCTTAATAGAGCTCAAAAATATACCTAGCGGTGATTAATCATGATCAGAATTTTTATCAGTCACAATCTAATGCATTTTTTCCCAAAAAGAAGATTTGCACATGAAAATTACTTTGTTTGAACTTTTTCCTTGTAGATCTTAGTCTTGTTTGAAAATATCGTTATCCGCTCGGCATCGTGTGAAGTTAGTGCTTCTCAAAAAACGTTTCCAAACTTCCCCCGGAGTCCCCTCTTCCTCCGGCGAAGCCGTATCACCTGATTCCACGAGCCCGTGATGAGTGATTGTTTTCCGCCTCTTCTGAGAGTTTCCGTGGGCAATCTTTCATCCCAGGATGAGAAGTAATGACCCATAGATTCCTAATGCCATATTTTTATAGCCAGTAAATTAGTCTTTAATGGGCTCAATGAGCGCCATGATGTATGTCATTAATTGTTCATGGTGTTTTAACCAGATAATTATGATGACGGGCAGTCCATCACGAGTGGCTGAGCCAGGCCACGGCGCTTGCTTTATCTGGCTTTGTGTGCCGATGGCAGATCAGGCACCCAAAAGGCACGCCTCACGTCACACCCCATGCATGGCTGGCTGTGAGGGACGCTGGACTCCACGTCGCACATCCCATCCTACTTGTGGCTGTCCGTGGGGGACGCTGGTTTCCACGCCTCACGTCACATCCCACATGTGGCTGTCCATGGGCACCAAGCGCTGGTTCTCCCCACCACACCTCCTGGGCTGGGTGAGGCCAGAGTCGCATCTCCAGGTTCTTCTTACATCACACGCTCTGGGCCAGATTAGAAGTAGAGCCAGAAAATCAGAGACATCCCAAAAGCTAGCTCCTTTGAAGCCACAATTTTTCTAGAAGCCTCTGCAAGGCATCATGGGAGAGGAGCACAGGATCACCACTGTAGAGCCTTGTTGCCTGCCGTGCCTGCCGCCAGCTTCGCGTTGGCTCCGCTGGCCTCTTCGGCTCACACAGTTGGCCTTGAGTTTCCTGGCTGACCGGTGGGCTCACACCTGGCTGTTGGAGACAGACGCATTTCCTCCCTTCCGTGCGCTGAGACTGCTGTGGGTGGGGGTGCCTCACGCCCCCCCCACAGGAGGGTGAATCAGGTTTGCGGGGGGGAAGGGATGCGGAAGTGCCGACACAGATGCTTCTGGTAGTCTGCCTAACCTGGAACTGGTCACGCAGAGATACAGCAGGTTAAACCGCCACCAGCGACGTCAGCGTCCGGTTTGAGCACCAATCAAGTTCCAGCTGCTCCGCTTCCGATCCAGCTCCCTGCTGTAACCTGGGAAACCAGTGGCTGCCACCCACCCTCGTGGGAGACCCAGAAGGAGTTCCAAGCCATCATGGCCGCTTGGAGCGTGAACCAGGAGATGGACACATGCACACACATGGACAGCACATGCTGCAAAGGCTTCGGAGTAGGCACAGCACGCGATCACAGGACCTGGAATTCCGAGGGGGGGGGGGGCCTGTCTGTTTCACGAAGCGAAATTCACAGTCGTCGGCTGAGCACGGGAGGCTAGGGAGAGGGGTTGGACTGAGAACCGGAAGATAAGGCTCTCGGTGCCCTCACACACAAGAGGGGCTCCATCCGGGGGAGGATGAAGATTTCAGCTCATCCGGCCACGTCCAGCGGGCAGCTGCCAGCCAGCTGAGAACTGGGCTCTGGGAACGTTTGTGGTCACTCCCGGGAGGAGGGGCACAGGGTCTGGAGCCAGACTGTAAAAGAAGTGGACGCACCAGGACAGGGCGGTGAGAGGGTCAGGGCCCCGAGCAAAGTCACGGCTTCTGGAGGACGGTCGCTGTTCCTGAGGTGGGCGCCTCCGTCCCGGGGGGCTGCGGAGGGTGGGTGCTTCCGTCCCGGGGGGCTGCGTGAGGGTGGGCGCCTCCGTCCCCAGGGGGCTGCGTGACGGTGAGCGCCTCCGTCCCGGGGGGCTGTGGAGGGTGGGCGCCTCCGTCCCGGGGGGCTGCGTGAGGGTGGGCGCCTCCGTCCCGGGGGGCTGTGGAGGGTGGGCGCCTCCGTCCCAGGGGGCTGCGTGAGGGTGGGTGCCTCCATCCCCAGGGGGCTGCATGAGGGTGGGCACTTCCGTCCTGGGGGGCTGCGTGAGGGTGAGCGCCTCTGTCCCGTGGGGCTGTGTGAGGGTGGGCGCCTCCGTCCCCAGGGGGCTGCGTGACGGTGAGCGCCTCTGTCCTGGGGGGCTGCCCGTCTGCTGCACATCTGAGCTCCTGGAGACGTGGCACTTCCTGGTGGTGGGCGCTGTGGCGATGGGGAGCAGTGACTGCCACGGGAGTGCTCTGTGCTTGGAGGGGTCCCACACACACTCGTGTCCCGTCCCGGCCGAGAGAGGGGCTGGTCTGCGCGTGGTGGAGCTCCGGGAGCCATGCTTGCCTTGTAGCTCCCGGGAAGTGGACCCAGACGCCAGCTCCCAGTGGGTGTTGGTTCTGTGCCACTGACGCAGAAGTTCCCTGTGGGCCAGGGGAGGAAGGGCGCGGTCCCTTCGTGGAAGGGCAGTCCATCCGGGTACTTCCCTGTGGGACTGGAGACCCGCACAGCATGGAATGCCGCTGCCCATGAGAACCAGCCGAGGTGTTTGTCCAAGGGTCGCCCACGCTGGTGAAGACAGGCCGAGCCGTGACGTGTCGGGTAACAGCTCGACAGCTCGACAGCTCGCTCAGCGGTGCGTACTTGTGTGTTTGAAGTGCAGCTCATCGCGCTCCAGTGTACCTGTGGTGGCGTCGTGCGATCTCTAATGAGTGCAACCAAGAGTCACATGACTGCCAGACCCCCTCAAATTCAGACAACACCCAGAAGGGCTAGGGTGCCAATCAGAGTGTATTCAATAAAGACAGACGTGCACCCTGACAAAGACTCGCGAGGTTATGTGTAACAGCAATAATAATAATAATAATAATATAATAATAATAATGGGACTCGAAGCAGAGAGTTGGAAGTGGCAGTAGGATGACGCTGACGTTATTGTCGTGAGTTTAAGATGTGTACAGATCTCCCATGTATAGAGGCTCATCATGACGGAAGCATGCTCTCTGCAGCCATGGCGGGGAGGGGCACAGACTCAGCCGACTGAGTGAGCTTGGTGTCGCCGCCGTGAGTCAGCCAGCACCAGATTCAGGCTTTCAGAGACAGACAGGAGCTCCTCACTGCCGCCGAGGAGCCGACACGGAGTGCGGCAGCCCTGCGGGACGCGGCTCTTCACCCCTCAGCACTGTTTCACCCTTAGTTTCACAGTCATTTTCAATGTGCAGATAGCGAGGTTCACTCTCTCAGGGGTATGGAGTTGTGTAAGTGACCAGCACCGCACTCACAGTTCTGGTCTCAGCACCGCCAGGGGTCTGCTGCTTTCCAGAGTGCCACACGCGGAGGAACGTGGCCAGTACCCTCCTATGCGACGTCTCTCTCTCTCTCTGACATACTCGCCATCGGCCATGTCGCCTTGCTCAGTGCTTGGAGCGTCCTGTTATGGGATGTCCACTTGTGCACCCGTTCTCAGTTCAGGACTGTTTTGGGTGACCACAGCTAGAACGACCGTGAAGGTGGGTGTGAAGGTCTTTGTGCAAGCACGTTGTTACCTCAGTGTGTCACCACAGCAGCTTCTGTGCAGTGTGGCTGTCCCCTTTGACGTCCCCAGCAGCAGCAGATGGGCACCCCGGCCGCTCACGCAGTGAGTTTGCTTGTTTCCTTGTTAGACATTCTGAAGACTGGGTGGTGGTTTTATTCTGCATTTCTCTTGGGACGGATGGTGTCCAGTGCTTAGTTGTAAAATGTCTGTTCAGATCTTTCACGGTTTGTGACTTCTGGAAGTGATCTGAGAGCTCTTTGTCTATTCCCTGCTCAGATTCTTAATTTGAAGACCTTTTCGCCCATGATGTAGGTCATCTTATCTTTTTCTTGGTGGTATCCTGTGAAGCTCAAAAGTTTATAATTTGATAAATATCTACTTAATTCTCTTTCATTTGTTTTTGTGAAGCCACTGCCTGATCGGGGTCAGGAAGATTAATTGCCTAAGCTTTCTTCTAAGAGTTTTACAGATTTAGTTGTTACATTTAGGCTTTGATGAATTTTGAGTTAACCGTGGTTTCGAATATGGTGTGAGGTAGGGATCCAACTTTATTCATTTGCAAGTGGACGTCCAGTTATCCCAGCTCCGTTGGTGGGAAAAAAGATCTTTCCCCCACTGAACTGTCTTGGCGCCATGGCTGAAAATAAGTGGACATTAAGTGTCCTGTTTTATTCTGGACTCTCACTGGCTTCCATTCTTTTGTGAGTCTGTTCTTGGGC